CAGCTCCTGCTTCCGGTTCAGAGGAGGAAGTTAGTGAAAGTTCTTCTTCTGGCTCAGAACAAAAAACCGGTGCAGCTCCTGCTTCCGGTTCAGAGAAGGAAGTTGATGGAAGTTCTTCTGGTCAAGGAAAGAATAGTAAGACAATTGCTGCTAATTAACTGCAGAAGAAAGTGTGCAAGGGATTCTGGTAGTAGTAGTAAATGACGCTATAGAGTGTGTGCAACCATGTGATTCAAAATCCCTTGAGATATAAATAACAATTATAATGAAAAACGTTACCGCTATGTTGGCTAATCTAACAAGAGAATCTAATGAGGAATGCTTTGTTACCGTCAACCAACATGGCAGCTGTGACGTAACATGCACCTGCTCTATAATGCAAGTGACCTATACGAAATGTCGACGTCATCGCGCACGCGCAACCACGCAACATTGTGATATACGATTTTATAGAGCACGGAACTCTTTGCAGCCATGACAAATATTATCTTTACCTTTCTAGTATGCACCACTGTGTCTGATGTGATCTTGGTGGTGGATGTGTCTGGTAGTGTTGGCCAGGATAACTTCAAACTTGTCCAGGAATTTCTCCGAAAATTTGTTGACCGATACGACTTTTCCGAGGGAAATTCAAGGCTTGGTATTGTTACCTTTGACGAGAACTGCTATGTGGACCTGACTTGGACTGAGAGTAGCGGCTTGACTGTGGAAGAAATAAAACAAGTAAGCTGGATCATGTTACTGATGTTGCTATTAGTCGTTCAGAGGTTAAGTAAAAGACTGGGTCCAGTTGGATTTGTAGTGCATTGTGGGGATGTTTAAGGGGACGGAAAAGACGCCATCTTGGGACTATTTCAGACCACGAGTCATTCCCTAGAATATCATTTCATTGTCGTGCATGAGAAGACACGTGAATATGAATATAGCTCAAACAAAGAATCTTATTCTCAAGAGAATGACACGTGGTCTGAAATGGAAAATCATTGCACCCTGCGAATGAGGCGTTTAATGGTTGCGCATGAGAAGACACATGAATATGGATACAACTCAAACAAAGAATATTATTCTCAAGAGAATGACACGTGGTCTGAGATGAGAAACAGCAATCATTTATCCAGTCAGAATGCGCAAACATGCGCACCGTCGCAGTAACAATTACACATTTGGCATATTAGTTGTTTATAAAGATTAATTCGGTTCATAGGTAATAAACAACCTTAAGTACACTGCTGGATCAACCCTGACCGACAAGGCACTCAAATGTGCGCGAGATAACATCATTAAACCTTCTCAGAGAGCAGGAGTTCCTAAAACAGTCATCGTCATGACTGATGGAATGAGTTGGAATGGCCAGAGATTCCTTCCTGCGCCTTCACAAGAACTCAGGGTGAGTTAGTAATACGATAACCAATAATAGTGCTTGTTCTTTATAGGTTTAGCATTGTGTTTGTTTTCCAGGGTATAGGCTGCAAGATGCTATTGGCGTAATTCTACAAATAGTAGTGCTTGTTCTTTATAGGTTTAACATTGCGTTTGTTTTCCAGGGTATGGGCTGCAAGATGCTTGCCATTGGTATTGGTAATGACGTTGATCCTAATGAACTTCAAATCATCACTGGTAATCCAGACCTCATATTCCTACGAAGTTCCTTTGAGTATTTAATTAAAGACGCACCAAACATGCTCAACGATATGATTGAAAAGTCATGTGTTGCTTAAGGAAGATTGGCCTCAAGGATGACACGTGAATATGTCAGCTTAATATATTCTACGAACATGCATGATGAAAACATTAAGAATATATTAAAAAATATAATGATTGTGATTCTAACAACATTAATAATCAAAAATAAAAGATGATGATGGTGGTGATGATGGTGATGATGATGATGGATGATGGTGATGATGGTGATGATGGTGATGGTGACAGTGATGGTGTTGATGATGGTGATGATGATGGTGATGATGGTGATGATGGTGATGATGATGGTGATGATGATGTTGATGATGTTGATGATGGTGATGATGGTGATGGTGATGATGATGATGGTGATGATGGTGAGGATGATGGTGATGATGGTAATGATGTTGATAANATGGTGATGGTGATGATGATGATGGTGATGATGGTGAGGATGATGGTGATGATGGTAATGATGTTGATAATAGCTGATGGTGATAAATATGATGGGGTTAAATAAAGCATTTTGTTTAACGATATTTATACCTTTACGTATTGAAATAGTCTTAAAGTATCAATAAGTATTAATAAATAAAATATAAAATATAAAATTAAATTAATAATAAAATTTTACAAACTACAATACCTGCATAAAGCAAACATTTAGAAAAGCATAATATTACAGAAAGTATAGAAAGAAATAGAGGATATTACATAGGCGCGCGGAGATACGAAATTTATCTTCGAGTGTTGAAAAGATCTCTCACAAGTGAGCGCAGCGAACGAGTGAGAGATTTTCAACACGAGAAGATAAATTTCGTATCTCCAAGCGCCCATGTAATATTCTGTTTATTATATAATTATCAATGGAGTATGTTTTGGCTTTTTCAGGCAATTATTTCCGTGTATTTTTGAATAGTCATCGTAATGGTGTTATCTTCACACGTGAAAATAACATGTTATTTTCACGTGTGAAGATATCAATTTTTCGAAATAGAGAAAAATAGATATTTCATTGGTAATTATATAATAAAACGTTTTATTTAGCGATGTTTTATTTCTCTAAGTTCTGTAATAGCTGTATTACTTTTACATTAGTACCAAGAAATACGAATAAAATCGTAAAAAAAAAGAAGTATTCAGTGTTAAAAAAGAGACTTAATCCGTTAACATCCAACAACATTAATTTTTACACAATCAAGAAAAAATATAAATAAACTAGGAATATAAAATAAACTGGGGTTATAAAATATTTTGCTGTTAGGTACTTCTAAGAACACTTGATTATCTTTGAGTAGTCGGAGGCAAAGTTTAAAGTAAAACATATACAAGGTTAGACCGAATAACACGATCGCCGTCATGTTGAAATACGAGGTCATGAATAATATATGGTAGTTTGAGGCAATAAAATCAGCAGAAAAAACTAGAACTCCACCCCCTAGCAGATAAAACACTTGAGAGTATACTATATATCTTGGGTCCTTTGTAAAGCTCTTTGTGTGCTGTAGGAGTAATTGTCTTAAGTGGCGTTCGGCGGTTTTTCTGTTTTGTTCTTCTGGAAAGCCGCAACGAGCTTCTTGTTCAAAATTAAGAATATTAGTAAAAAAGAAGGGAGGAATGAAGGAAGAGAGAAAGAAAGAAAGAAAAAAAAAGAAAGAAAGAAAGAGAGAGAAAAGAGGAGAAAAGAAGAGAGAAACGTCGAGGGGAAAAACGAAGGAAGAAAGACGAGCCTATAAGAAAATGGTGTCCTAAACAAACAAACAAAAAAAACAAAACAAAAAAAACAAAAAAAAAACAACTCTCAACATAAATTAGTTTATCAAACTTTCATGTATTAGATAAGCAATAAATAAAGAAATAAGCACAATATTCAACAGTAATTTTCGTTTTCGTTTTATGGTTTTGTGTTGAGCCTTAAAAACATTTTCTATTTAAATTTGAACCACGACTAAAAAGCTGTAACAAAACCAATAAAAATACTGGCGATGATTACATAACACAAAACAGAAGGAGCAATTCATATCTTTCTTTTATTCTTAGTTTAAGCTTTATAGTTTTATTTCAAGTATAACACAATTGAATCACACTACAAAAGGTTGTCGGCAAACACTATGCCATTGTTTGAAGTTAGACCACATTAGTGAGAAACGTAACACAAAATTCTTCAATTCTTCAACAAATTATAATCACTAGAGTCTTATCAAATATTTCGCTTCTTATTGGTCGTCTCTTACCAAGGTCATTAAAACTGTTTACCGCTTTTCTTATGTCTGTCTTGTTACAAGTGATGGTTCTTATTACAGATTGGTTGCTGGTAGTACAATGGAATAATGACAAAAACACCTGGAAATGAGATGACTGCCATAATGTTCACAACTGTGGTATGTACTGGTTCAAGGGATAGTTGAGTGAAAGATACAACATGCGTTTTGCTTTAAGCTGCTTCGTTCTTACCTTGTTGCTTGATCATGTGAGAGGTAAGGAGGTGTTGTTGTTGTTTTATTGCCGACCTTTATGATTTGGGGAAGTTGGAGTTGCTTTTCTCCTGAAGTAAAGAAGGAAGAAATGAGAAAAAAAAATATAGGAAGGAAGGAAGGAACGAAGGAAGAAAGGAGGAAGGAAGGAATGAAGAAAAGGAGGAAGGAAGAAAGGAAGAAAGGAAAGAAGGAAGAAAGTATGGAAGGAAGGAAGGAAGGAAGAAAGGGTAGATGGAGAGAGAAACTAAAAGATGAAAACTTGGCAATTCCATACGTACACTCGTTTCGCTATCTCCATAGTTACGGGTAACAATTATTATTAAAATCCTTGACGTGGACGAGGAAACCAAATAAATAGAACTCGCGTCTTCTCAATGTCCTCTCCTTCCATTCACTCTACATTCCTTTAATATTTTTTTAACAGCGATACCTTTAATATGGATTATACTTCTTAGGTGTTTACACTGAAATGAAAGTGTAACGATCTTTTCTCTATTCCAAACTCCGCATTCCTCTTATTCCGCTTCATTATTTCACATTGAAAATTTCACCATATTAGATAAAGTTTATGTTTTTCTTTCTTTCTTTTTTTTCATTTTTTTTTCTTCATTAATTCAGGCAAAGAGCACCACACAAGGAACAAAAGATCCACGGTATGTTGGGTTGAATTTTTTTTCATAATTTAACAAGTATTTTTCTGAGCCTATAACAAAACATAGCTTAGTCTAGAGCTGGATCCACTTTTATCGTTGCGCGCGAGGTGGACCAATTAGCGGAAACAGACTGGTAGGAATCGTTAATCAGTTAGTGAGAACGTTCTGGACTAAACGTAGTGTAGGTGCTTTATACAATTATTGGAATGTTCTGAGCCTCTGTACAATGAAACACAGTAGTACTCTCTCGAATAAAAGTTTGAACAATGATGGTAGCCATGACAGGCGGCAGGAACAATTGAATCTGGTCAAATCTGGAATATCTGCTAGAGATTTTTTTATAACATACATGATATGATTGGTTTGTGTTCAGTTGATTCCCAAGCTAGAGATAACGACATCTCACATCAACGTTACTTCTACAATGAGTTCAGGGTGAGTCTTGAAACTAGTTGGAGTTGTATCCATATTCATGTGTCTTACGTGCAACCGTTAAACAAAGAAATGTTACTCTAGGAAATGACACGTAGTCTGAAATGGGTCTCTTTAGCGCATTCTTCCATGCATCCATCCATCCATCCATGCATCCATCCATCCATCCATCCATCCATCCATCCATCCATCCATCCATCCATCCATCCATAGCTTCCTTGCATCCTTCCTTGCATCTTTCCTTGAATCCTTCCTTTCATCTTTCCTTGCATCCTTCCTTGCATCCTTCCTTGCATCCTTCCTTGCATCCTTCCTTGCATCCTACCTTCTTTCCTTGCATCCTTCCTTGCATCCTACCTTCTTTCCTTGCATCCTTTTTTCCATCCTTCTTCGTTNCCATCCATCCATCCATCCATCCATCCATCCATCCATCCATCCATCCATCCTTAGTTATTCATTTATTTATCTTTCTTTTAGTGCGCGATTCCAATACCAGACAGACATTAGACACAGTCCTGTCTCCAAGGCAGATGGGCGTGGTGTACACGTGACCTGGATGCTCGCCCCTTTCCTTCTCTTCAAGGGGATTTCTTCTTGGTTTGGACCAAAACCACGTGTGCAGCGAAATGGTGACAGCGTCACGTTTGTGGTAAGTTTATTGTTGTTGTTTACTGTGTTGTACGAAGTAACGCAATCCCGATCCAAAGCGATGTAACCAATCAGAATAGAGCAAACTTGAATATCCATGGATATCTATATTTCAGTTCCAAGAGCTTATCTGGATGCAAGATGCGTATTTTACATTTGATGTGATCTTTAACCACAACTCGATGTTAAAGACAGGCCGACATCACGTGATCACCCCAGTAGAACTTCGTTATTATAAAGACTATGTTGAAGACTCTACAGACAAAGTAACCAGCAAAGGATTGCTGTACACTGAACCTCTTGTCACGCATGAGATGATCGTGGAAGTACCTGGTAAGGAATGTATATATTTTACATCGATTGCTGGGAATGCCTGCTCAGTTTCTCAAACAATAGGCACTCTACAGCTAATAGGCCATTTGCAGTACATAATCACATGACTGTTATGCTGGATGGCAACAAATAAGAGAGCTTCCTTTATTCAAATAACGTTTGCTGGATTACTAATGCCATATACAAAACCTTTCCAAAACGTTTTTCCCTTCTAGGATATATTTTAGATTTCAAGTTATAAAGCAACTTCAAGTTTGTTTAATTGCCATCCAGCAGTGCCTTCCCTAAGATACCTTTGGCTTGTGAATGTGAATATATATGAAATATATGTTTGTACTGCGGTTGTAATGTATCAAATTGAGCTGATCGTCACAGTATATCAAGCAACTTATGCAGCTGAAAATTGAAAGACTCAGAAAAACTTCTGAGTCTTGAACGGGATAGCACGTGACAGTTTGTTGCAATATATTGACAATAAGAACTTTATTTTTGTGGAGGGAGAAAAATCGGAGAACCTTGAGAAAAAATATGATGAGCAAGAGAGAAGATTTATAAGTCCGAGGATTGAATCCATGGTCATTCGCAGCGCACAACACCTATGCTTACTGGCAAATGTATCGTATTGGTTTCCCACCTAATCCACATCCCTGGATCCTCCTTTGATGCTATCTAAATTTGATCTTATCTATCGTTTCAGGATGTTCGTCGGCGCTTGGGATGGCGTCGAAGGAGATCTCTGATTACCAGATAACAGCATCATCTAGCTACTCTGATGTACAGCCATCACAGGCTAGAGAAGGTATGTACTTTAATCCGTCCCATCCCAGCGATCCATCTATTCCATCCGTACATCCATCTATTCATCCATCCCATCCCAGCGATCCATCTGTTTCATCCGTACATCCATCTATTTCATCCATCCCAACCCAGCGATCCATCTATTCCATCCGTACATCCATCTATTCATCCATCCCATCCCAGCGATCCATCTGTTTCATCCATACATCCATCTATCGATCCATTCCTTTCCTTCTTTCCCTTCCAGTCATCCATAATTTCCTCAATCCATCCCTCCATCCATCCATCCACCACATGCACCATCACATTTCATTCATTCCATATCATCCATTCATCCAATCCCATTCATTTTCCCCACAAGAAATTGACATTCAAAATTCTTCATTCCAGGTGATGACGCTTGGTGCGCCTTCACCACTAATGACCAGCAGTACATCCAAGTAGACTTCCTGTTCAAGACACGAGTCACGCGCATCGTCACGTATGGAAGGCGAACCAAACTCTTCTGGGTAACGCAATACTCGCTACAGTACAGCAGCGATGAGAGGACATGGCAGTATTACCAGGAGAATGGATTTACTAAGGTAAGAATATTTTGTTCGCTAGTCTGAGAGAAGTATTTCTCTCCGTTAAACCAAGGATATCAATTATTTATTAAATTCTCTATTGATTTACCTTTTCTTCTGCTAATGCTGATTGAAAGATTGTAGCGTGTAAAGTAAGTCTTGCTAACCTTCCTTTTGAAGCGTGTGAACTCATGCTAACCGTCCTTTTGAAGCGTGTGAACTAGTTCATGCTAACCGTCCTTTTGAAGCGTGTGAACT